GAAACTTCAAAGTTTACAGGACAAAAAAAAAAATCCATCGGGATAAAACTGCACTTGGTCCCAAGAAAAGCCCCATTTTAAGATCTAGCTAACTCTACATTAACTTAATGGTAAAAAATTTAACATTATTTGGTTAATTCTTAAGAAAAATTAAACAAAATCTGTTTAAGATCTGGCTAAACTCTACAGTAAATTAAAGGTATAGGGTTCAACATTATTTGGTTAATTCTACAGTATAATAAAACTGACATAAAAGGAAAAGTCTGATTTAAATAAAACAATATTTTTATTACACTAATACTAACTTGAATATCGTTGTTAAATAATAATGTGCAACTAAAACGAAGTTAATAGTATACAGTAAGTTCTGAATTTAGAATTTACCATGCATGAAAAATCATACAAGATGTTTTATACTTAATACTAATAGTTAAGATTAGACTGAAAGAGATTAATTTATAAATTGTTTTTCAAAACAAGTAGAATCCACAAAAGATAGCTTTACCATTTAGTTTTAACACTCAAATTATAAAGATTCTCAAAATTCAGTAACTAAAGATGCTCAAGAAAGAATTTCAATAACGCAAATGTTGAACCCCAATACAAAATATTAAAGCAAGAGTTTAAAACTTAAAACTAATGCTTATCAGCAAACGTTTAAACTATACAAATACAGGACCTGTCTTAGTATCATGAGTATAAATTCTTAACTATCAATTAATTTAATAAACATATTAGAAGGAATTTTGTAAGTTGACCATTTACTTTTTAATATTTAACACCCAAAATGAAAACAACAATTTCACAATTGCAATACCCTCCCATATAATACATTCTCATAAAATAAAATAGAGCAATGGAATTCTGTTTCTTAAACACAAGTGAATAAAACTTTATAGCATTTCATCAGAAACTAACAAATTCAAAACATGATACTATACAGGACCAGTTGGTTTATCAAAAGCAAAAAGAGGACAGTGATTAGCCACATAACAGCATTTGAATTGCTCTTTATTACCTACATGTCTCATGTATTTTCTATTTTGGCATTTTGTAAAGGTTAGAATAACATTTCAGTATGTATAGTATATAAAAAAATTAAAATCCTATACTTTTTTTTTTCAAAGATCAAAACCTGCTACAGGTCTAATCACTGCCTCATAATCATATATATTATAAATCAATGTAACATAAGGTACCTTGCTTATTTACAAGCATAAAAGTCTGAAATACAGTATTTTTATTTGTGTATACTAGAGAATGTTTGTACAATTATAGTATAAATGGCAAGGATTAATATACAATATAGATCAAACTGCCATCACATATACAAAGAGCTGTCTCATCAGCCTTGTACTTTCAGGAGCACTTTTAATTGGTTCGTCATGTCCAAACACCTGCCTCCACAAATATTTTCAAATGTCATATATGACTCAGAACTAATGTTTCCAAAATAACCTTTATTTGATCTTACCTTCTGCATCCACTGGGTTGGCGGCTGTGGAAGTTTGGCTGGTGGGGGAGGCTCACTGAATTTAGCTCCTGCATAATGGTTATTCAAACCAAACAAAACATTTCCCTTACTTTGTGAAGTTTCAAATGAGTTATCCAACCGATCTTTTTCATTCAGGGTGTTCTCCATGTCTTGCTGGACACGCCTCTTTGGTGACTCAGGACTATTTGAGTTTACACTTTTTGATCTTGGTTTCACTTCAACAAATACTCTAACTCTAGGTGATAAGTTATTCTTTAATTTATCAGACTGAAAACCTTCATTCCATCCTCTGTTTTTAGTTTTTCCTAATCTTGGTGGTGTTATCATACCATAAAGCGAAGTTCCAACATATTTTTCACAATCCTGTGAAATGCGTGGACCTGCGATTGGTTTAAACCACAATTTCCCACTCATTATCAATAACAAACAATATCAGACTTAAACTTACAAATATAAGTTATAAGTATAACTTATTTACGAACTTACCTATTTGTGTATTTCTCACAATTACTTATAGTTATACTACTAACTTCTAGGCTAGTAGCAATAGGCTTCCTTAACACTTTTACGTGCTCTTGGAATATTAAACTAGTACTAACTTAACTTGGGGTTAAGTAGTTTATGGTAATAGTCTTAATTCTTTAGTTTACTTTAGCCTTTAGCCAATTTCAGCTCAGTACTTCAGTTTCATTTTCAAAATGGCGGAGCTTGTAAACTGCTGACGTCGTTATTCTATGAAGACTTAAAGAATACAAACGACAGAACGTAAGACATAAAGCAATTAGTCAGAAGCAAACCTGTTCATCCGTGGTTAACTAGTTGCTAATCGTATCTCCATGGAGTTTTAACCAAGTTCAAGTTAACTGTTGAAATCGTTCACTTGTACGTCGTACTTGTGGTTTACGTTTTCTTCGACCAACATAAACTGTCCAATATGGCGACGTCTTTCTCAAACAAACGAAACTAGATAGTTTCCTTGACAGAATACAACCACAGAACAGAATTTTTATTGCTTTCTTGTATTTCTGTTGTAATCAAATCTCTACCTGCTCAAAAGGAGGAATGGGTTGGTTAAGATGAATCGCATGAAATCTCTCCTTGTAATTTCTAGTAAAAGCTTAACAAGCCTAAACATTCATACATACTGATCCCTATTTGTATGCTCTACTCCCTTGTCTTTGCGATCAATACGAAGAGCTTCGTCACGTGAAGTAGTCAACCAATGAACGTACACTTTGCGCAGTAGCTAATTGGAGACATTCAGAAATGTTTACTTGTTATCCAATGATATAAAGCATTTATAATTTATTTTAAAGAAAAAGTTTTCCCAAAAATGTAGTTTGAGTATTTTAGAGGCATCACCTTCACTGTCATCATTCCTGTGTTAAACACTACGAGACATAACGTTTCTGATTGAAATAGTGTTTGAACTAAGCCTGCTGGCCTGGTGAGCTTTGCATTTGTCAGAAGGCTTCGCGGACTATGGAGCACAACAAATGTATATTACTAGTTGATCTTATACTCCATTTTTCCTTCTGGAAGTTTGAGTGAGGCCAGTAAAAAACGGCGTTATTAAAGTTTTGTCTTATTTTGATGGGTTATTAGACCAATAACCCCATAAAACGTACATAGGGAGGAGGTTGGATGGGCTCAAGTCCCTGCCTTCCTGCCCTTATATCCCGAACGTGGCCTTTTTTCCTCTGTCATAAAAATTGTCAACAATTATGAAAAGATACACCTGATTCCACACCTTGTCTCCTGCGAGTTATTAAGAAAGGATTTCAACTTTAGAAGGAACACGGGGTCTTGTATGACCTTACAGTAAAATAATAATAATTGTAATATGCTATTAAATTCAAAAATTTACTGTTTATTTTTTGGTCATAAAAGTGTTTATAAAACCAATTGAATAGGAATAAAAGAGGATCTGTTTGCTTCATATGGATTTTTACCCTTTGAGTACCAGAGGCAACTCACTGAACCATAGTCTCCTCTATAATCCCCCTCACCCAAAAAAGCTTGCCCTATGATGCTTGAAAAAATGCCCTTTCTTGTTAATGAGCCTCTGTCCTTTTAATGTCCTCTGCGCATTACTGATAATTTTTTTTTCAAATCAGTCAACAATACTCTGGAGTAGTACGCTTTTTTCAAGCATCTGTTGTATATCTGCTTGTTTGTTAATTTCCGGTAAAAATTCTTTCCGAGGAACTTCGGCGATACAAGTCCTTTCTTGATTAAACCAGTTTATTCTTCCTCGATATAAATTTTTACTACACAGTCAGTACGTTTCTCGTCACTTTAAACTTTAGAACTTTATATTACATGCTATAAATCACAGCGATTCACAATCTCGATAACTTCGCTCTCTACGAGTGCAAAACACACACTAGCTCGAAACAGAATCGTAAATTACCCGAACGTCACCGTAACTACTGTTCGCTTTATCATACATTCATTCCCGCTGGCTTTTCTCGCCAGGCTTATATACTAACAAAGAGGCTTCTCCAAAATTCGCGGGGTTCCCCGATAATTCGAGAAACTCAGTCCCGCATGCGCCAGCAGCGTCACGTAACTTCCGCTGTCGTAACACATCCTTAAATTGCTCAGTTCTTTCTAAGATCAATCTATCATTTTTACATTTGTGGTCTTGCAGTATGTTGCCATCTTTACATGTGATTCATTGTGTAGGTGTGCCAAACGTGGATGTTTTTGTATCAAGACTCGTAAGGTTAAAACATTTACCTACACAATTTCAAATTATTTATGTTGGAATACGTACATGTACAGCAGTAATTTATCAAAGAAGGATGGTCAGAAATTGACTCAAGAGGGCGCTGACAACTTTTGCAACAATGCTACTTAATATTATTATTTTACGGAGAAACCTTGTATAATATACATAAAAATAAATAGAATCTTACTCAAAAATGCCTACAAATTACTACATGTATAACACTAATATCACCCTTTGTTCATAGCTGACATCACTGCTTGTGGAAAGTAACTTCAAGTAGATGGCTGCAGATGTAAGTTATGTTTTTAATTAAAACAAACAGAATGGCCATCATATGACGGGAAAAATAATTATTTTTTTCTTAAAATTTTATCTAAACGAATGTTTGAAGAACATGTTTTCTAAAAATCAATTCTAATACATTAACAATATGTGTATGGAGAATGACTGTCCTATTTCTAGTATTTCACGAAAACAACATTTTTTTATGTATATTTGGTCATTTCCTTTAGGTATTACTTTATTAGCATTTTAACCTCTGTATATTTTAAAGTTATATTCAAATACTTTTCTTGATAAATCCTTATAGATTGAAACGTGAAAAAAAAACTGATTCTCAAAGACGTATTCCTACTTGGTCAACTGTATGACCCTGCAAATTATTAATTGTGATGGTAAAGGCAGTGAATTTTGTTATGAATTTCGGGTTTTCCTGGTTTTGGCTCTGTTGTCCTGTTGAGTTGAAGCAGCGCCCTTTAATTTGGACATTTTAAAAATTAAAATGTGCTGTGAGTAAAACGTGCGGGTTATTATAGAGTTGTAACCGAGGGTTCCAATTGGACAAAAATTGGTGATGTTGCATCAGTGTGTCTCCTTGACAACCAAACAAACGTAATGGGAAATTTCAGCCAATAATTATGATTTTTGAGCGCCAGCAATACCAAGCGCAATACCAATTAGATTTTTTTATTCATCACATCTCTACCATATATATCACATATATGGCTGGAATAATTTTAAAAAGAGAAACTTGTTTGTCGCAGCAGAAAGCGCCATTGTTTTATATAAGTTGTGTGTCGATTGGTATCGCAACGACCAAGATATTGGCGTAACAGGTGAACGGGTTTTCATCTTTATATAGTAGATGTTGGATATACAAGAATGTTTAGTGTAAGTGTTATTACTTAGTTTACTTTGTGACTTAATATTTAATTATTGTTTAGTTTTTAACAATTACATTGTTTAGGCTTTACTAATATTGTTCACGTCATGTTACTCGAATTGTCAATGTTTTTCTCGTTACCTTAACTGAATATTGATACACTATAGTGTCGCTCTCATAGTGTATAGAACGTTCGGGGCCTCAGTGATAAAGACATATATATATTAGGTCATCAAGAAATTAATGTCGCATTTCTGGAACACTTTCATTAACTACCTCCAAAAAAAATGTACATCACGTATAATAGATAAACGAACCGCCTAAACGTCACTTTAGTGTAGCCATTATAATGTATAAAGTTTAGAATACTCTATTCCCTTATAGTGATGGCACACGACGAGACACACATTTGGCATGTAATGCTGTTTGAATACAAGAAGGGAAACAACGCATCTGTAGCCACAAAGAATATCAATGAAGTTTATAGAGATGTTTTGAATCTTTGTAAGTATCAACGATGGTTCAGCAAATTTCGTTCAGGTGATTTTAGCCTTAAAAACTGTGATGGCAGGGG